TATCCCTCGATGCCTTAAATCTTGGTATTTGCTTCTCTTCCTAATGTCTTTTGTGGCATTTTTTTTTTTCTTCTCCAGAATGGTGCACTTTTGTCTGCATTAAAAACCTTTTCAGATTGGGCGCCTGGGTGGCTCAGATGGTTAAGCGTCTGCCTTCGGCTCAGGTCATGATCCCAGGGTCCTGGGATCGAGTCCCGCATCGGGCTCCCTGCTCTTTGGGAGCCTGCTTCTCCCTCTGCCTCTCTCTCTCTCTCTGTCTCTCATGAATGAATAAATAAAATCTTAAAAAAAAATAAAATAAAAAAAACCTTTTCAGATTGATATTCCTTCTCAGTGATTTCCTTAATGGTGTCTGGGAACTAATCTGCTGCCTCATGGTAAGAAGAAGCTGCTTCTCTTGTTGACATTTTAAAAGCCAAACCTCTAGAATTATCAAACCAGCCATTGCGGCATTAAATTCTCCAGCTTTAGATCCTTCATCTTCCTTTTTCTTTTGAAGTTGCCGTATAGACTTCGCTTTTTCTCAAATCGTATGAGTCTATAGTCTATGCTTTACTTATAACAGTTCTGCACCTACATAAAATCTGCATTTTCAGTATGATAAAAAGGTATTTCACAAAAAGTGCAAAGTTTTCACACCTGCTGGCTTAGCTGCAGTGATGGCTTCATGAATTTTTTTTTTTTATAGTGATCCTTATACTGGATTCATTTATCTTGAAATGGCAGGCAACTGCAGCTGTGGCCTTTGATCTACGGTACCTATCAAGCAATTCAACTTTTTCTTATAATGTCATGACTTCTATGCTTTTAGGGAGCACTTCCAGCATCATTAGGGGCTCTTGGTGTTATGGGTCCCATGGTGTTATTTGTGGTTTACAGTATTTCACTAAACATGATGAAAAATAGGTGAACTGTGAGAGATGACTTTTTACTGTAATATACAATTTATCAGAGATGAACTGCTCAGTGACAGTGTCACACAGCATTTTAAGTGTATACAACACTTGAGCTTAAGGCCATAGCAGCAGGTGGATACAAAATTATTACAGAAGTACAGATGGACTACAGTTAATTTTATACAGTTATCACTGCTGCATCTTTTTGTTTACATTTGTCTCAAGTGCAAATGGCGTCATGTATGGTCTGCTTGTGTGTGTAAGTTTTGACAATTTTTAACTTTGCATAATAGATTTGTGTATATTTTATGGTAGTGATAAAAGACTATTTTCCACATATATTTTGTGCATATTTTGCTTAAATTTTCAATATTTCTAGCTTACATGGTCCATCTGTGAGTTTTTCAAATTGTCCCAAATCTTCAAAAAATTTTCCAATATATTTATTGAAAAAAAAAAAATCCGTGCACAGCTCAAACCCGTGTTGTTCAAGGATAACTGTATATATTTGATATAAATTGGTAGAAATCTGTAAGCTAAATTAAGATAATAGCATTTATAACGTCAAAACACTGAATACATAAGACCAAATAAAAATGTTCAAAATTTCTACACTGAAAAAATACAAAAATTGCTGATTAAAAGATGTGTATAAATGAAAAGGTATAACATGCCCATAGACTGGATGTCTCAATATTGTTAAAGTGTCCATTCTTCTAAAATTATATATTTGATGTAATGCCCATTAAAATCTCAACTTTTTGGTGTGGAACAATTGAAAAAATAAATCATTCAAGGATGTATATGAAAATGCCAAGGATCTAGAATTGCAGTGACAATTTTGAACAAGAACAAAATTAGAAGACATATACCGCCAGATGTCAAGACTTACTGTAAATCTGTTTACCCTAAGAACATTTGGTGTTCAATGGAATAAAAGAACAGAATAGATAATTTAGAAATAGAATCCCATATACGATCATCAGATTTATCATAATACCACTACAACACAAGGGGGAAAGGAGATGGTGGCCTTTTCAATTAAATGATGTCAAATAAATTGTATATTTGTACGGAAAGTACTAATTTGACCTTTACCCCACACCACACATAAAAATTAATTTCAGATGGATTGTAGACCTAAAAGTGAAAAGTGCAGAAGAGAATGTAGGAAAATATCTTTATGACTTTGGATTAGGAAAAAATTTCTTACACTGGGCACAAAAAACACTAATCATAAAAGACTGATTAGTTGTTCACTAAAATTAAAGTCTTCTATTCATCAAAGGACATCAAGGCAAGCTGGAGATGAAGAGATGATGTTTGTAACACAAGTGTCTAAAAAGTACCTTGCACCCAGAATATACAAAGAATCCTACAAATGAACAAAGAGTTCCCAATTAAAAAACATGGGCTAAAGTCTTGAAAAGGCACTTCTCAAAAGAGGATATTCAAAAAGCCAATAAGCACCTAAAAGGAGATTCAGTATCATTAGCCACAAAGGAAATACAAATTAAACCTATAAATAGGTTTACTGCCACACACTAGAATCAGGCTTTGTCGCCTTTCCTCTCCATTGAAATTGCTCTAGTAAAGGTGGCTTGTGTCATCTCCATCCCCTAACCCTGTGGACACTCTTCAGTTATGTCACTTGAGCCTGACCATGCTCCTCTTCTTGAAATGCTTCGCTCTAAGGCAGGGAAGAGGGTTTTACGTGTGGTAAGGGTTAGGAAGTAGAAAGGAGCAGCCAACAGACTAGGCATCAAGTTATGTCAACTCTTTAAAAGCAGGGTCTTTTAGGGGTAGTATTTAAAGGTTTAACTCTCAAACTTTCCAATCAGAAACTGGTATATTACATCCAAAGGAGGTATGTTTCTTGGTAACAGTTTGTAAGTTCCACTATTAAAATGGAATCAGAAATGGTCATTTTAAAGTGTCAAATTATGCACTTGTAATGGGAGGGAGCTCATATCATTTGTCCAATATCCACTTCCCAATATTAAATAGATACATATTCTAACATCGTGGGAGGGGTATTGGATTCCCTTTTCTTCAGCCTCCACTGAAGCATAGCTCATCATGTCCATGGTCTGTTAGGGTCTTTTGGTATCAGGGCTGCAGCCTCTACGTTCTCATTTTTGTTCCAGGACTCTTAGTATTTCCAGAACTTCCAAGACTTCATTTATGGACTTGGGTATCGTTGGCTGTTTCCTCTCTCTATAATCCATCACGGAATGTTCTGTGAGGCTATACATGGAACTTTTCACCATTGTGACATTTTCTTCAGTGTCATGTTGAAGGTGAGGCTTGCAGACCTCTAGTCTATAGCCTGGATGCAAGTCCCAGATACTCTTGGATATGTTTTCTATTTGTCTGAAATTACTACCTCCTCCAAATGAAACCAAAAGGGTAGAGGGAATGAAGTGCTGGGTAACTTCTTTGGAATCTAGGCAGCATCAGAACCAATTCCCATGCTCTTAGATCCACGACTGCCCCTACCTTGCCAATGTATTAGGGTAACTCTTGGTACATAACAGGTGTCCAGTGAATTACCTCCACAAGTAAAATAGGTTTTTCCTGCTTATGTTAATATTACATGCTCTTTGAAAAGAAAAACTTATGAATTACAGAAAAGTGCAGAAGTCAGACAAACAAAAAATACTGGATACTCCACCACTCTAAAACAATCATTAACTTTTTGGAGACCATCCTTTCATTCATGGTTCTCAAAAGTTCACACAAATACAGTTTTACATTGAGTTTTAAGCCATACATGCTGCATTTAAATTAAAAAAAAAAAAATTCCAGTCCTTTCCCCCATTTATCTCCCTCCTTTTCTCCCTCCCTTCAAGCTAACCAATAATAACAGCCTGGTATATATTCTTCTGGTATATATACTTGTTTCCATGCTCAACACATATACACATATATACATAAATGGGTATAATCATTAACAAAAATAAAATCCTGTACACATAAAGCTCTGTAATAAAGCAATTAGTTATTAAAATTTGTGGAAATACCTTGAGATCAACTAATGTAGAAATAACTAATTTTAAAAATTACTCTCATGCTGTTCCATAGAATGGTTATATCACAATTCCCCCATCAATGGGCATTCACTTTGTCTCCATTTGGTTTTCTATTTTGTCTCTACAAACGATACTTCGATGGAACTCCTTATTTGTATTTTTATGCATTGATGATGTTATTTCTGTGGGGACAGATTCCCAAACTGAGACTGCTAGGTCAAAGTATTTTTATTTTAAAATTTTATTTAAAAACTTTTAAATATATATTGCTGAATTGCTGGTGGAAATATAAGTTGATATAACCTTTTTGTAAAAGTAGATGGTTCCCCAAAACCCACTAGCAAAAGATCTCTTAATTTTTGCCAGCTCCACGAAGTGGAAGTGACATCTCATTGGTTGTCTTAATTTGCATTTCCCTGAGTACTCCTTAGGTTCATAACATTTTCAGAGATTAATGGCCATTTACTCTTCTATGACTGGCCATCTAGTCCAGACGGATTAAAGACTTTAATGTAAACAAATTTAGGAGACTATTGTATAACCTACGGATTAAGGAAACCCTTTTAACTAAAAGAGTAAATTAACAATCTAAAAGGAAAATGTATAAATATCTTACTATGAAAAATTAAAATGTTAAACTCTTTTACTATATAAAAAAGCATAAAGACAATCACTAGATTAAAAAAATTTGCAACACACATGAAAAAGGATTAATATTTCAAATATATAAAGAGCACCTCCAGATTGATAAGAAAGACAAACCAATAGAAAAATAGGCAAAAAATACATAGGCAATTCATTGAAGATGATTTGTTAAGTGAATAAAGTATGAAATCTGGATGAATACTTTCATTTGTCCATTATTTTTCTCTATTGTGAATTTTCTTAGAACTTCTAAGATTTAATATGACTGTATGCTTTACCACATTCTTATGTTTCTAAAGTATCTCTCTCTTTTTAAAAGATTTTCTTTATTTGAGAGAAAGCAAGAGCAGGGGGAGGGGCAGAGGGAGAAGCAGACTCCCCATTGAGCAGGGAGCCCAATGTGGGGCTTGAACCCAGGACCCTGGAATCATGACCTGAGCTGAAGGTAGATGCTTAACCGACTGAGCCACCCAGGTGCCCCCTCTAAAGTATCTCTTAAGTGTGTATTTTCTGGTGAACTGCTCCTGGAAGTTTCCCCACATTCATAAAAGACACAGTTTATGATTCTTCTTGTGGAGTTGGCATCTGGATGAATGATTTATTAATCTTTATATTAGCTGAGTTTCTCTTTGATGTATTCTTTGATGTACAGTAAGGCTTGAGCTACTCCTAAAGGCTTTTCCACACTCATTACATTTATAGGGTTTTTCTCCAGTATGCATCCTCAGATGTACAGTAAAGTCTGAGTTGGTTCTGAAGGCTTTCCCACATTCTTCACATTTATAGGGCCTTTCCCCAGTATGAATTCTCTGATGTAGAGTTAGCTGCGATAGGGTGATGCAACCTTTTCCACATTCCTTGCATGTATAGGGTTTTTCTCCAGTATGTGTTCTCCAATGCACTGTTAGGTATGAACCCCTCCTAAAGGCTTTTCCACAGACATCACATTTATAGGGTTTCTCTCCACTGTGGATTTTCTGATGTTCTGTGACATGTACCATCTGGCTAAATGCTTTCCCACAGTCATTACACTTAAATGGTTTCTCTCCCGTATGCGTTCTCTGATGTGTATTAAAGCCTGAGTTACTTGTGAAAACCTTCCCACACTCATTACATTTATAGGGTTTTTCTCCAGTATGCCTTCTTTGATGTACAGTAAGTTGTGATGTATTAGTGAAAGCTTTCTCACATTCATTACACTTATATGGTTTTTCTCCAGTATGTGTCCTTTGATGTACAATAAGGTATGACTTAGTCCTGAAAGATTTTTCACAATCATAGCATTTATAAGGTTTCACTCCAGTATGAATTTTCTGATGCTCTTTGAGATTTACCATTTTGGTAAATGCCCTCTCACATTCATTACATTTATATGGTTTCTCTCCAGTATGAATCCTCTGATGTACAGTTAAGTGTGATTTTATTCTGAAAGATTCCCCACATTCATTACATAGATAAGGTTTCTCTTCAGTATGAATTCGCTGATGTATAATTAGGGATGAAGAACGCATGAAGGCCTTTCCACACTCATTACATTTATAAGGTTTCTCTCCTGTATGCATTCTGTGGTGTACAGTAAGGCATGAATAATTAATGAATGCTTTCCCACACTCATTACATTTATAAGGTTTTTCTCCTGTATGAATTCTTTGATGTTCTGTGAAATTTGCTATACGATTGAATGCTTTCCCACATTCATTACATTCATAGGGTTTTTCCCCAGTATGAGTTCTTATATGTACAATAAGGCTTGAATTACTTCTGTAGGCTTTCCCACATTCATTACATCTAAAGGGTTTCTCTCCAGTATGAATTCTCTGATGGACATTAAAAATTGTGGTATTCTTGAAAGATTTCCCGCATTCATTGCATTTATATGGTTTCTCTTCAGTATGGGTCTTCTGATGTACACTAAGATATGACTTATTCCTAAAGGCTTTCCCACAATCATTACATTTGTAGGGCTTCTCTCCATTGTGAGTTTCCTGATGTCTTGCAAGTTTTGATTTATCACTGAAAGCTTTCCCACATTCACTACATTTATAGGGTTTTTCTCCAGTTTGAATTCTCTGGTGTTGATTAAGGCGAGCACACTGGCTAAAAGATTTTCCACAGACATTGCATTGATAAGGTTTCTCCTTCGTATGAATTCTCTGATGTACCATAAGTGATGAAGAAGCAATGAAGGCCTTTCCACATTCATTACATTTATAAGGTTTTTCTCCAGTGTGAATTTTTTTATGTTGACTGAGATATGAAGGCTGGCTGAACATTTTCCCACATTCATTACATTCATAAGGTTTTTCTTTAGTGTGAGTTCTCTGATGTTGAATGAGTAGTGACCTATAACGAAAGGACTTTTCACATGTACTACATTTATAGGGCTTTTCTTTATTATTGTATTTTTTCCCTAACGTAAGTTCTGAAGTAGGCCTTATGGCTTTGCTGCCTTCTGTATCCTTGCAAATTTTCTTCCCCATATGTGTATCTGTAATCAAATCTAAATTCTCAGTGAAATTTTCACGTATTTGGCATTTGCTGTGGGGTTCTTCTCTTATGACTCCTGCTTCAGGAAAAAGAATAGATCCAAATCTAAAGCCTCTTTGACCAGAGGGAATTTTCTTGTGAGTAACTATTTTTTGGTTTAAATGATTTTCCTGATTATTTTGCAATCTCAATATCCTTTCATTCCATTTCCATAATCCTCCCATTCTGGAGTTCCATAGACCATTCTCTGTGAGTTTATCTATTATGGTCTCTTGTGATACATCTTCAGAAATATCCGCGGTTGATACATTCTTGGTTGCATGTTTGGTCTCCAACTCTGGGGGAAAAAAAGAAATAAATCAAATCAAATCAAATGACTCCCATTTCCTAAGCTAGGAAGATCTCAGTAAACAGGATAATAAAAGGGAAACCTCAGCTGATAATGAATACGAAGTTTTAACTGCTTGCAAATTGGCCTTGTTTTCTAAGAAGAAAGAGGTAGGTTTGAGGGAGGCTGGTTGAACCAAGAACCAAAGTAGTAAACTCAGTTTTTCCCCTACTAAAAAAATTCATTTATGGCAACCCTCCTAGAATCTAAGGATCTCAAATACTTCTTTTCTCATTCCCTTTACAGTGAACTTTTTTTTCCCCCAGATCATTCTTCAAAAGTTGTGACTACTTTCTTGCTTCCCATTTACTCTACAACCAGGCATTTGTTTGCTCCCAACCATACTTTCTATTTGTCCTCCTTCTTTGCTTGCTAGCTTTTTGTATGAGGCCTTTCTCAAATGAGGGCATTTGTTCCCAACCATACTTTCTTTTTGTTCTCATTCTTTGCTTGCTGGCTTTTTGTATGAGGGCTTTCTCAAATTTCCTAGGGTAGTTTATTCAAGTCTTTGTATGTACTTTTTAAACAGATGTTTATGGAAAAAAAACACTACGATTTTTCAGAAAGTAGTTGAACAGCAAATTAGTCAAAATTAATATTTATAGTTATTAATGTTTTGAATAGTAATAATAATCATCAAGGGTAGTTTTGCAACCTTTTTATGTCTTAAGAACATTCCTGAAAGTCTGTAAAAAAATCAGATCAAAACTACTTACACCTTGAATTTTAAAGTCATGAAACATTCCACTATCCACAAAAGGTTTTGATCCAATTTATTTTATTTTATTTATTTTTTAAAATATTTTATTTATTTATTTGACAGAGAGAGGCACAGCAAGAGAGGGAAC